TTTTTGTATAGATCTTTGCAGAGGCTAATTGGACGAAAATCCACCGGGGTTTGGGGGTGCTTCTTCTTTGGAACGAGTGCTATCAGGGTATGGTTCAGTTCCTGTGGGAAACTCCCCCCTTCCAGATAACCCTGTAGATCAGTAGTGATTACCTCTCCCAAGATATCCCAATTCCTCTGAAAAAAGAGGACAGGCATACCATCTGCTCCAGGAGCTTTTAATGGTCCCATTACCTTTAATGCCTCCCAGATTTCCTCTCTTGTAAAAGGTTTTAGCATCTCATCATTCATAGCAGCTGTAACCTTTTGTGGGACTGCCTCTATCACTGAATTGGATCCAGATCTCCTGTCAGAAGTATATAACTTCTTATAGAAGTTAACAATACATCTCGCTATATCCTCCTAATCTGTACAGATCCTTCCATTCTCATCCTTTAACTTTTTGATCATGTTTTTGACTCTCCTGTCTGAAGCTCTTCGATGAAAAAACTTGGTGTTTTTGTCCCCATGCTTAAGCCAGTCATTTATGGACCGTTGCTTCCAGATCAACTCTTCTTGAAGTAGAATCTCTTCAAGTTCATTCTCTAGTACCCTTCGTTGTGCCAGTACTGCCTCATTTTTTCTCATTTTGTCAATCTTCTCCAGTGCTTTCTCAGTTCTAACTCTTCTGACTCTCAAGCTACCAAATGTCTGTTTGCTCTAGTTACGCAGCTTTTCCTCACACATTCTAATTCTCCCCGCCACAGAGCACTGGCCTGCCGCCTCCCAGCCATCTTTAATGACCTTCTTACAGTCCTCATGATCTTGCTAGTAAGCCTCAAATTTAAAATAGTGACCCCACTTCACATCCTCCACTAACACATTAGTTTTCAGTAGGATAAGGTTGTGGTCTGAGCCACAGCGTCTAAGATGATAAACCCCAGCATCAGGGTATAGTCTCCTCCATGACTCTGTTGCCACCATCCTATCCAATCTCTCTTCCAAGAACGTTTCATCTTTGTGATTGTTGTCCCATGTATAAGGTTTACCATAAAAACCAATATCCTCTAACTGGCACTCCTCAAGAGCTTTGTTGAAACCATTCATCTCATAGCCATTCGCTAATTATTTACCTCTCTTCTCTGCATAGTGTTGGATGAGACTAAAATCTCCACAACACAGCCAAGGCACATCAGTCAATCCCTTTAAATACCTCAGTAATTCCCAAGTCTGGTGTTTCTTCCCCTGTTCAGACCAACCATATACTCCAGTGAAACGCCAGATCTTGTCATCTTCCACTATTTTCATATCTATTTGGTATCACTTCCTTTCACTTCCACCTGCATGTCCTCTTGCCACAAGACAAGGAGGCCACCCGCTCTACGCACTGATCCCACACCATAGCCTTTGTATCCTTGAAGTTTAGTCACCACCTCTTGCCATTCATCTTTCTTTTTCTTAGTTTCCATCAGGAAGACCACTTTAGGTTTTCTCTTTGGATCAATCGATCCAATTTTTTAATTGCCAGGGGACTCCCCAAACCCCAGAAATTATAGCTCAAATAACTCATTGAGCTGGGCGGGCCTGCTCTGTTGCAGGCTCCACCACATCGCCATCCATAGTTTTGTTATTGTTATCTACAGTTCCTGCTCCTTCTAGACCAGCAAAAGTTAGAGTTCTGGCCTTCTTCACTGCCTCAGTTGTGTACCCCTCTACCCACTCTCCCTCATCTCGAGCTTCAGCCTGTCTTTTTTGAGTGGTTATGTGGGCCCCAGTAGCTGGTTTCGGTTTCACTGGCTCCTGCCTTCTCCAGACTCGGGCACTATTCCTTCCGGACCTCCTTTCTTCTGTACTGTCCATCACAAATTTTCGTAGAGCCCCATTGTGCATTTGATCCCTTAATTCTGGCTTTTGGGAAGCCAGTTGCTCAGTCTGTTGTGCTACACCAGGCTTCTGTGCTTGGTCAGTTTTGTGAGCCTTCTAAGTTTGTATCCTCTTCCATCTCTAATGCCATATCATGGTCAGAGTTGGACCCTATGCTTTCCATTTCAAAATTTTGTTTGAGAGCAGCTCACACCTCAGCATCCTCCTTCTTTGCAGTATATGAGAGCCAGTTTTTCTGACCCTGAGCCGCAACTATCAGTGTATACCCAAATGGGTCTTTTTCAGGCTTTGGCTCAATTTTGCACCTTAGTTTAGGGTGCCCAATGCGCCCACAAGAGTAGCAGAACATTGGTAACTTTTCGTACTTGATTGGATATTCAACCAACTGACCCGAGATATTCAACTTAATCTTCTTTTTCAGAGGGTTGTTGATCGAGAGGTACACTCTCAAGCGCATGTAATCATCCCACATTGTTCCCCCGCCATTATCAAACTAGTCAAGCCCCTCAAAGCGCGAGGCAATTTTCTCAGCCATCTTCTGGGTCCTCAGTTCAGCTGGTAAGCCCTCAACCCTTATCCACAGATCAATCATATGTAGATCTTCTGGTTTAGACTTTTGAATCGTTGTGCTTGCCTTTAAACACTATAAGTGAATTCTCATAATGCCAAGGGCCCCCATAACATACCTTATTCCTGTCATCCATGTCCAGAAATTGAAAGGCAAACAACATATCCCCAAGTTCCGTGATCCGGAAACCCTTTTTCAGCTTCCAAGCTTTTGACAATGCAATTTTCATTGACTTCATGTTGGGTTCTTTTTCATCTAACAGATGTCCGGTCAGCCCCAATCTACGCACTGCTTCCATGCGCAACACATCAACATCCGAGTCCTCTACCTCCAATGGTTCATCATCTTCATCCTCCAGAGTTGTCTGATTTAACTGATTTTCTAGCTCCATGATTGTCTGTCGTTCCTTGCTCGTGGCAGTATCTTCGATATCTTCTTTTCTGGCCTCCATACTGTAACAAACCAATCTCGTCGCCCCTGAAACAGGACAACACTTTCTGTTCTGCTTCCCTGTACAAAAACCTAAGGCCCTGTTCACTTCCATTTTCGTTTCCTGTTTTCATGTGATAAATTTGGCAACCGAAATGAGAAAACTTGTTTACTTTTCATTCTGTTTTCTATTCGTTTCCAACTATGAAAACAGAAAGTGGCAACTTCCTGCTGTTTTCGGAAACGACAAAATGTTGTTTTCACCTGTTTTCAACATCTGTTTTCTAAAAAACAGGAAACAGAAATGAAAGTAAAACAGGCCCTAAAGGTTTCTTGCACTAGGGTTTTCCTCTCGCACAATATATTGCTCTTTACACAAAGCGGTCAATCGAGTGCAAAGTCTTCTCTTCTTAAATAGAGTCTTCTCACCACACTTGTATCGCAACACTGATTCGGATCGGAAACAAAGTTCTTCAACGAGGGAAGTAGACTCCGATAAAACCCGGAAAAATCCTAGGGTTTCTGCTGCCTTAGACTCTCGCTAAACGAGAGAGTTTTTATTATTTACGTTACTTAGGGATTTTCTACTCCTAAACACGCGTATTTAATTAAAATACTGTATCTTGTCGTCGTAATCATGATTAACTCGTAATTGCTTTGGCATTTGAGTGGTTCCACAATGGGAGAATTGGAGAGTGACTGTTCACAGCTAGCTAGCACACGTGGCAGCAGAGAGAGAGAGGTTGCTTAAGATTTCAGATTTTGAGAAGCATTCATGAGTCTCAAGATTTGGGAGTCAACTATGGGTCTCAGAGTCTCATTTGATTCTCTCATCAAATTCAAAATAAGAATTAAAAATGTAATCTGCACTTACAGATTGTAAACTATTTAGCAACAGCAGCTCCCACCGTCCAATCTTTATTGACATTTTACTGCTTAATATTAAGTTTTCGAGCATTTCAGTCCAATCATTCACTTCATTGAGACTTGAGAGAGTCTGTCTCATTTAGAATCTTCCCAATTTTAATCCTTAAAAAACGAAAATTTGTAAGAGTGTAACAACGATGTTCAAACAACACAATTATGATTTGTAGGATCATAAAAGTTGTAAGATCATAGATCCAAAATCATTTGGACCACAATGAGATTCCGACGCTAAGTTTTTCATAATATACTCAATATGTGCAAGGAGTAAGTATTCTACATAATAATGTATACTCTAACGAAAGTCATAATGGAAGTCAAACGAACATGCAGCTTAGCAGTATTATGTTAGCAAACAACAGATCAGATCCATCCTCATGCCACGCTTTTGAATGCTATTCGGAGGCTCCTTGCTCAGAACTGGATTGTTCGTCTTGTTCATACGTATCGCGAAGGGAATAGAGTCGCGGACTGGCTCTCGAAGCACAGTCTCGTCTATCCTTTCGGTACGCATGAACTAGACGAGCTGCCGGTGGAAGTGAATCGGATTTTACGGGAAGACATTGTCGGCGTTAGCTTCCCGAGACAGACTGTTATTGAGGATTAGAGATTCTCTACCAGTATGCTGGCTGCTGGGCGTTTGGCCCCTGTAATTTGATTCTTGGCATTTTTGCCTCCCTTTATTCAAAAAAAAAAAAATTGTTAGCAAACAACACTATAAAGAAGACAAAGGATCGGACCCTTGAATGTGAAAATCTATATTGATTTTCAATTTAGATGTAATTTTCTTTGTAACATTTTTATTTGACAACGATATACAAATTCTAATAAGGGGATCTCAATCAATTTTTTTTTGTAACAATCTCAATCAATTAATTACACCTCAAAAAATTCAAATAAAGATTTGAAGGAGTACTGATTTGTGAAAACCCACATAAACAACAAACATGTTGACAGTAAAATTAATAACGTGCTCAGTTAATAAATAATAAATTATTATTACCACATCCCAGTCAGCATAATTCAAATTCCCTAAACCCAATAAAATACACTCCACATTTGAGATTCAAAAATCCAAGACAACCCTAATTACCCACACACTCACTCACTCACTCACTCCAATTAACCCAAGCAACAATTGATCTCCTTCACGGAAGCTTCTTCTTCTTCACTACCCCACTCCCTCTTATAAACCTCACTCACTGTGAGACTGTGATCTACACTCTAATCTCTATTTTCCTCTGCTTTCTCCTGAATAAAAAAGCTGCCTTCCTCCAGCCATTTTCCCTTTCGCAATTGCCCTCATAAATGCTCTTCCTCCTACTACTCTGCTTCTCCTTGTCTCCGTAACCACTCTGCTTTTCAAAATTCGCTCTGTTTCATTGCTATTCTCCCCTTTCCCGCAATGCCTGGTGAGAAACTTCAAATGGCTCCTCCTTCTTCCTTGAATCTGAAGCCCCTCTTGAAGAAAGAAATCCCACTCATGCTGAGAGACTACCTAAGGGACGATTTCAGTTCGTGTTCATCCAACGGCTTCAAATCCTTCCCCCGCCGCCAATGCTGCCCCACCACCACCGTCCGATTGCTACTCGAGTTCGACCTCCAAAAACCCATTTCCAAACCTAACCACCATTCCAAACCCAAGCCGCCGCTCTTCCACCAGAAAAACCGCCGATCCACCGCCACTACCACCGTCTCCGCCTTCCACAGGGCGTCAGAGGCCGTCCTCAGAGCTGTCAAATCTCTTCCTTTCCACCCCTCCTCCTCCGCCGCCGCCGCCGTCTCGGCGTCCGTTTCGCGGAAGAAATCGCTCCGCATCCCGCGGAGCCTCTCCCGGCGGCTCCTCCGGAAGAGCTTCTTCTGGCGGAAGGTCGACTCGAGCAGCATTAATGTTGACAATGCCGGCCGAGAGGCCGCCGTTCGGGAATCCGTACGGTGGAGATCCTTCCGCGAGTTTCTCGAGGAGCAGGACCACGCAGAACCTCCGTCGGAGCAGGTTTCACACGCCGGGGCGGCTTCCCCTGCAGCTGTCGTCGGAAGGATTTCGACGAGCAGCTCCAGCAACAGCCGGAGCAGGAGCGGGAGCGAATTTACCGCGGATAGCGGGGGTTCGGAGAGTTACAGCGGGTCAAACAACGACAGCGGTAAAAATGATTTACCGTCTCCCGGTGGTGACATGGTCAGCGAAGGGCTAGCCGTAACAGCCGGCGAGGAGTCCACCGCGGCTTGTGCTACGGAAATCGCCAAGGTAAATTTGAAAAAAGTAATGACGAGGTTTTCATTGCATACATCGCGGGTGTACGATAACCGGTATTTGTAATTTCATTTTGAACGCACGTGAGGGCTCCGTATAGAATTGAATCTCCACGTGTGGGTGCGCCTAGGGAGGAGCCACAGTAAAGATTCGAGAAATAGCGATCGAGCGGTCCAAGGCTTACGATTCCCTCCACTGAGAGCGGGATCGACGGAGATGGGACACGCGGGAGCACTGAAGCTTCCTGGTACACGAAATACTAGATCAGCTCCTCCCGTGATTTTATTTTACTCCGAAGAAACTTCCAACTGGAATATTATTTTTTGAATTCCCCAACTCTGTTTTTTAATTATTAATTATTTCCAAAATTTCAAATGGTAGTTAATTTTCAGGTAATATTAAATTTTGCGGGGTGGAAGGTTTAGATACGGGTAGTTTAATAAATAAAATTAAGTTGTTCATTTTTGGTGTTTTACATGGTTGCAACTCTTTTTTTGTCGGTGATCACAAAGGAGCCCTAAATATAAATGACAGTTTATTCAGTTGAAAACACATTAGAATTGGGGGGGAAATAATAGCTCAAAAAGAATAAATGAGGGGTTGGTGCGGAATATTTATTTTAGGTGGGGTAGTGGATTGAAATATCTGTACTTTGGAAGATTGTTGTTTTGGCCATTTTAGGTGTGCATATGCATATATCCTTGCTGTAATTAACGCTTGCATTCATTGTACTTCACGTCCGCCAAAGAAAATTTAATGTGTAGAAGCTCACATGCAAGCTAGGATTGGAAAATTTTGTTACTGCGTTAGAGTATTGGGGCTAAAATGACCAGATTTTCAGAATTCAGGGACTATATTGTACAGACTGGTTTGATTTTTAATAATTTTATTCAAGGAGTCTCGTTTTTCTCCCATAACTTGTGGTTTTGCTTAAAACTAGTGTTTAGAACAGCTATCAACTTTTTCGGCAAAAGGTCGACTACTAAACAATTTTCTTTTTGGACGGATGTCAAAAAGTTTTTCCTGTCATTAGTGGGTTGACTAAACCAATCTCGGGATTTGCTTTCTCTCTTGTCCCTAATTTCTTTTGTCTCCTACCGCTTGCCAAGCTCTTTCCTTTTTAATAATACGATATCTACCAACCTGATATTTATGTTGAAATGTTTAGATTGTCATTTGCTGTCCTAATTACAAACATACATGAACATTCTAACGATATCAACATGTATCGATCGCTGATATATCGGTAGATTAGGCTAACCGTATAGTTTCATATTTGTTTTTTTTTCCCGCAATTACTTGGGGTTGTGAGGATAGGAGTGGGAGTGAATGTTCACGGGAAATTGGTGGAGGGTTTTTATGTAAGTATGGTGGCGCGCTAATAACTAGAGGGCAGGGAGGGAGGGACCATGAACACAAACAAAGAATGCGACTTGGCAACGGCAGCTCTGCTCCTCATTTATGGCTCATAAGCAAACCACAACCCCAAACTAGTGTTGAATTAAGATGTAGTCGGGTTGGATATGGCTCTGCTGTTTTGGCTGGCCCATGAAAATGTGGGTCTCCTTGGAGCCTTGGCCTATTGCAATTTGCACATGTCACGTTTGTTTGTTTGTTTGTTGCTTTCCCTGTATGCAACGATATGAATTGAAACCCCCCATTTGTTGGGGAGTTTGAAGAAGTTGATTGACACTCCTGTCTCTCTGTGTTCTGTTCTCTAGCCTGCAATTAGTACTCGTAGGGCAGCCTGTAACATGGGGGCGTGCAGTGCTGTGTGATATTAATTTGCCTTGACATTTTCTTCCCTACTCATTATGCCATGAGTGATTTAGTCATGTAATCTAATGGGCTTAAGCTACAATTGGAACCTGTTTCAGGCATGGACAAATGAGGAGAAGGAGCAGTTCAGTCCAGTGTCTGTCCTCGACTGTCCGTTCAACGATGATGAAGAAGATGAGGCTGAAGTCAACTCTCCCTTTCATCGCCAAACCCTTGTTCGTGTTGAAGGTACACCAACCAACCAGCCTCCCCAATTGCCATTTAGATAGACAGACTTAAGGGAAGTCGTCAGAATCAGAAATCTAACAATGTTTGTTGTTTTTTTGTTTATTGATACAGGGAACAACAAGGTGATGAAAAAGACCAGGAGGTTCGACTGCCTGGCTCAGCTTCAGCCGCTGGACTTACAGAAGCGAATCACCACCGTGATCACTGAAGACTCCTCGTCGTCTTCGTCGGAAAACGAATCATCGTCGTCGTCAACTCCTGATCAATTGCCACCAGTACTTTACTCTCGACCTTGCACCTCCGGTGAACAAGTAGAAGAAGAGACGGTGATGATCACCACAAAAGCTCCCCACGAGTTGCTCAGCATTGTCAAGGAAAGAGCATCAAAGAGTACTAACTATGGCTTGATATCGAAAGCCGAGCTCCTGCTTCTGGACTACTTCGAGGAGAAATCATCATCATCAACAGAGGAAGACTTGGAGGCAGTGGAGGAATGGGTGAATGGGGAGCCGAAGGAAATGTTTGCCGGTTGGGAAGTGAAGGAGGGCAGAAGTTTGTACCTTAAACGTATGGAGGAGGTTGATGGAGAATGGAGGAATGTTGGTGAAGGGAAGGAAGAGGTAGGGTTCGAGCTGGAGCATGAGATCTTCACCACACTGATTAATGAAGTGCTTGAACTCTAGTAGTTATGGTTGTTAATTAGACTATATGGTAGTGGTTTTTCTTAAGTTGATCGATAATTACAGTTAATAAGGAGATGTGTGGAGTCACTCTCAGTAGTAGTATCTAGCTATATGGTGATTAGGTATTATTGGGTTACCTAAAAAAGAAAAAAGATTAGGTGTGTGGGGATCTTTCTTCAGGGCAGTTTTAGTCTTAAAAAAAGTTTGTAGCTGTGGGAAAGAATGACTAAAGCTACCATGAGGGTAAGAAGATACATCAGTTGTATTGATTATTAATGTTTGTAGTTTGTACTTTCTTTCACCTTGAAAGATTGACTTTTGAGAAAATTGAAGTAGTAGTATCATGTTTTATAGTTAGTTTGTGATTTTCGTTTAAATATAAGGTGATACAATGAATACTCTTTCAGATAATTGGAAGCGTCTAAATTACGTAATAATAGAAAAAAAAAACATACAAATTGCATATCCCAAAAGAGTATATATGGACAAATGTGTAATGGTAAGCTGAGATAATCTTCTGTTCTTTGTTTATCATTGTAAAATTGTTAAAATAACTAATGACCGTTGTCTGAATAGCTAAATTTTTCTCACGAATAAGGGTTTGGCCTAGTGGTAATACCACTAGCCTAAAACCTTGAGATTCCATGTTTGAATCCCTTAAATAGTACCTTAATGACAACAAAATGAAACCTATATCACCCTTATAAAAAAAATAGCTAAATCTTTCTCTGTGCTTTCCTATATTGTCCATTCTATAGCCGAGCCACATTAGAGATATGCTTCATTGGCGCTTAAATTACGAAGTTGATCATGTTCTTAAGATTTAACCATTCACGACATGCCCTCCCTCATAACTCAATTCAAATGTAAATCTCATCTCAATGTACCTTTAAACAAAGTTGGATTCTACGTCCAAATTAAAACGGCTGTGGTAATGGAGGAGTGCACCATCATTTTGTTCGATATTTTTGTGTCTTGGTAGTTATAAAAATTACGAGGAATTTTGCAATACTTTATTGTATTAGTGGATTTTTTTATTAGGGTGATATAGGTTCATTTTATTTATTATTGTATTAGTGGGTTTTTTTATAAGGATGATATAAATTCATTTTATTTATTAAGGTACTATTTAACGGATTCGAATCTGAAACCTTCAGATTCTAGACTAATGGTATTACCACTAAACCAAGACCTTCTTCGTCCGTTGCACATGAACTCTTTTGTGGCGATGCAATTTACTGTCCAGCCTTTTTACAGCCTTGTAAGATTGGGGGAAAGGAAATTTCAAGACTATGATTTTTCTTAGCAGGTGTTTGAAATGAGGTATTTCACATTCCACCTACCTAGCTAGCTAGTGTAAAATAAATAACTTTCCAATTGGGAAAACAAATCTCAGCTTGCCAAGTCACCCACCCCACAGTGCACGTGGCGAGCCAAGAGAAAGTCCAAGTCGGTGCGAGACTTCCACTACCGGCCACCACCACCACCTCCCAAATATCTCTTTTGATAATATCATCTCGCGAAAACAATACAATATATCTTTCATTTTAGCTTGATGTACCTTTTGGCCCCTCTACTTTGGGTAAGTTAACAATAAATAAGTCCTTAATCTTTTACTTCTCTCATAGTAAGTCTCCTATTATGGATTCTTTTAGCCACTCTTGTGAAATGTAACAAGAGTTGTTTTAGAAACAAGTTTTAGTTAATCCAATCAACAGATAAACCATGATAGAGTAATTCATGTTTATGAGGACAAATCAAACTAATGAAAAAAGGTTACATGACGTTGGCAATAATACAAGAATGATAATATGAATTAAATGTATACAAATGCATTTTTATTTAAGTGTTCAATACGAATCAATTATTTTGTAAGTGTTTTTTTTTTTTTGTATAATGATTCTTGCGGACGCTTTTCCGAGAGTAGCTGCCACGGCTCCGATCCGATACCCAATACTTGGATCTCGAACATCATTATCCACCAAGGTGAGAACTTAAATTGGAGTGTTGATTTGAATTGGCAATTAGGGGGGAGGGGAGGGAGACTCGAGAGAGGGCTTATGGATTTGCCAAAAACAGATAAACCAATAAGAACTCTGAAGTTAAACGTGTTTGGATGAAAATAGTACTAAGATGAGTGACCTCTTCAAAAGTCCTCGTGTTGTATCCCATTTTATATTTTGTAAGTATTCTTACTAGTAATGCAATGTCGAACTCTCTTCAAAAGTCCTCGTGTTGGTATATAGTCTTACTTTAGAAGGAAAGATGTTTCAGAACTTTTAATTCGTCAAGTAACGTGAAATTGGTATAGCAACTCAAGTTGGAGATCCATTATTATGGACGGGAAGATGCAGAGTTCTCTTAATATTTAAATAATTCTAGTTATTCAGGAACATTGAGGATCCACTAGTGATTGCAGATTGTAAATGTAGTAGTCGGTCCGGCAAATAGCAGTATTTTCAACATCACAATGTAACATTTTTCATGACTTCATTTTATTTCCAATACTAACAATTAAGGAGAACAAATATAATTTCAGTTTACACGAGGGCCACACTAATTAGGAGGGGCCTAGTTATTCATTCAATGGTCACATCCAAAAAGACAATTCATGATTGTCTTCTAAAAAACATAACATTATTTTTCGTAAACTACTGCAATATATTGATAGGTTAAACATTCTAATATAATTTTATCATGATTTATCACCGCCTCCGTTTATTTATATCACCACTCTACAAATATTGTAAATTCAAACAATAATTGAGTTTTATAGGTTGATTTCTGTTTCACTCTGCTTTCAAACACTTTCATGCTTCAACATGTGATTCGAAATATTAGTGAAGCTAACGTTCGTCTTATTAGTTAGGTCAAAGCTTTTGAAGCTCATTAGAAAGCTTGTCGAAGAGAAAGAGAGAAATACATTTGAGGAGAAAATTCTCGGGAGCGGCCGAGAAATTGCGAGAAGGCCGCCGCGAGAAGAGGAGAGGAGAGGAGAGGAGAGGAGAAAAGAAAAGAAAAGAAAAACTCTTCTTTCCCCCAAAAATACCCTGACGCGTCCATATTCGCATTTCGCCCCCATCCCTCCCTAGTCCCAACCCCGCTGGCAGCTCCCAGCTTTGCTTACATACGCAACAAACCTCTCCCTTAGTCCCTTTTCTTCCTTCATTCCTTCTGCATAACATTTGCACGCCGCGGAGAAGGAGAAAGGGAAGTAGTGGTGCGCAGGCAGCTTCACTCAAACTACTTCTTCTTCACTTGGACGGCTGCGATACTTTCCTTCCCCCCAATTCCTGATATCCCCTTTTTCCCAATAACAAGTCAAAAGGGGAAATCATATTCTGTTATATCCATGCACCGCTGATACAAGCAAAGGGTTCCCGAGATATATTCATAGAGACACCCAGAGGGCGACTCATTTTGTTGGGTTCCTTTCAATTCTTGTGTTTTCCATTTTGCTCTTTCGTCTGGTGAATTTGGGGATGAAGGGCGAGGAGCAATCGAGGTCCCTGTTTGGGATTTCCCTATCGGACAAACCGAAATGGAAGCAGTTCCTTATTTGTTCTTCTGGGTTCTTCTTCGGTTACCTTGTTAATGGCGTTTGCGAGGTTCGTTTTTTCTCCTTTCTCCACTCCTTTTATTGCTTTGTTTCTTCAGGTGGGTTTTGATTTGTTTGATTGTTTGGCCGTGCATCAGTGTTATGATCACTGATTTCCTTTCTGCTCTCCTGTTTGTAATTCCCATATTGCATCAGATGTTAGCAATGCTATTTGCCTGCTATTCTCTGTGTGTTTGGTCCCTAAGAAAGGCAGGAAAAGAAGAGGGAAAGTTTGGAGAATTTGTTTGTTTGTTAGTGCGTTGTTTGCCTTTTTGCAGCAAATGATAGGCCACCGTGTTTTTTCCTTAGATGACCGTCTGCGAGTTTTGGAATGATGATTGATTGATGAGAATGTCTAGTGCAGAAATTATTAAAAGAAAGCATCAAGTTCCCTATCTCCATAGGTCATTTTCATTACTCACAAGTATAACGTTTGTTGCTGCTGCTTAATTTTGTCTGCTTCATTGGCATTTTTGCTCTGGGGAACCTTATCTTTAGCATTGATACCGGACAGAACATTTTGGGCCTACTGGATAACTCTTAGAAATTTACAACTCTCTGCTGATATATTTTCAGGAATATGTGTACAATCGACTGCAGTTCAGGTGAAAACCTTACTGCAAAACTTCTAATGTTATGGCTTGTTGTCGTTATGTAATTCTGATGCAAAAATTTTACTGCCTTCTGTGATTTTCAGCTATGGTTGGTACTTCACGTTTGTCCAAGGATTTGTGTACTTGGCCCTCATATACTTGCAGGGTTTCACCCCAAAGCAAATGGTGAACCCGTGGAAGACTTATGTCAAACTCTCTGCTGTTCTTATGGGTTCACATGGATTGACTAAAGGCTCCCTGGCTTTCCTCAACTACCCTGCACAGATCATGTTCAAATCTACCAAGGTGAGAAGATTGTTTCATGTGTTGTGATTCTAATCTATAATAATATTCGATCTGTGTGACCATTCTCAAAAAAAATATGCGATCTCTGTGATTAATTACAAACTGGTGTTTGGTGTATAAACAAATGTTAGGTTCTTCCGGTCATGGTAATGGGTGCTTTCATTCCTGGATTGAGAAGGAAATACCCGCTTCACGAATATGTCTCTGCTCTCCTTCTAGTTATTGGTCTCATCCTTTTCACTCTAGCCGATGCTCATACTTCTCCAAATTTTAGTGTTATTGGCGTTGTAATGATTTGTGGTGCTCTAGTTTTGGATTCCCTTATGGGTAATCTGCAAGAAGCAATTTTTACCATGAATCCAGACACTACTCAGGTAACTGATTACACACTGATTTCAGTTTGGATATTATTCTGAATTCGTTGCCAGATAAAATGAAGTGATAAATATTTTTTTCATCTTGGTTTTGGGCAGATTGAGGTCCTATTCTGCTCAACTGTCGTTGGACTTCCTTTCCTTCTTCCACCAATGATCCTTACCGGAGAGCTATTCATTGCCTGGAAATCTTGTGCTCAAGTAAGAACCATGGCTACAAGCTATTTCTTATTGCTTGCTTGCTTTCCAAATATTCTGGTGTGTGGGTTCCATGACCTATGATGTGCTGGCCATGATTAAGTACTGAATTTACTTGACATATTCATTCCCTCTCATTTGAACTTCCCTTGGCATAATTAATTACTCAGTATGGCCTGCAACTTTAATCTAATAATGTAGTGGCACTATAATATAATAGTGGGCCCTAAAGTAAGCCTCCTTTAGATAAACTATGACCATCCTATTGTATTATGCCTCTTGGAGTTTAGGGTCTTGAGTCATTTGGATGATGAATTGTGGCACAGAGTCCATCTAAGGAGGGATTGTCCTCAAAATCCATCATTTGGCAAGAAAAACAAAACAGGATAGAATGCCACCGTTTTCAATGATCTACCACCCATTTATACAGTTTGCCAAATATTGACTGCAGCATCCCTATGTGTACGGCGTGTTGATCTTCGAGGCTTTGGCTACATTTGTCGGTCAAGTTTCGGTTCTGTCTCTTGTTGCTATCTTCGGAGCCGCAACTACTGCCATGGTATATACACTTTTTTCTCTGGTTTCTGATCATTATATTTTGCAGAAAATGTTAGGAGTTCTGATTATGTCTATCGACCGATCTTTGCAGATAACAACTGCTAGGAAGGCAGTCACTTTGTTGCTATCGTACTTGATATTCACAAAGCCATTGACCGAGCAGCATGGCTCTGGATTGCTACTGATCGCCATGGGAATCATGTTGAAGATGATGCCAGATCCCAAACTTCCTCCAAAGATGATTACACGCAAGCAATTGGAGTTCCGTGAGCAAACCAATTCGGGTGTAGGAAAAGGTGACGAACAAGAAGATGATGAAGAGAAAAGACCCCTAGTCTGAAGGATAGAAACATAACTTTGTCTTTGAACAATCCATCGATTCTTTTCACTTGATTATTTTGGTTCTTTTTGGGATTTCATGCCGACTTGGAAACTGGAAAGTGGAAACAATAAACGGTATCAAAGGAGTAGATAGATTGATGTTTTGCTAGATCCTTTGTGTGTATTCCGTTCTTTTAGTTTGTGAAGATCTCAGAAGAGATATTTATAATTTATGAATGCAAATTGCAATCCAAGAACTCCACTCCTTTTCTTACGAGTGATATCACTCGGACTCGGGTCTCAACATGTCTGCCTTGTTAACAATGGTAACTTAACACATTTAACAAAATCTGACGGAGTTAGAGAGAGTGATTAAGTTAGGTTTGAATAAGTTTTGTGACCAACCCAGGAAACCAAAGGGTCAAAAGCCTTTCTTATCATTCGTCATATGGTACATGTTCATAGTACAACTAATCTCCATGAGGTTTCAAATGAGCAAAAAAGTACAGAGAAAATAATTTAAATTAACTGACCCTTATTATTCTTGAGGTTCTTTCCTTTCCTATTCTCCCTCTTTAACAAGCACAATCCACTGCAAAACTGCGAAACCTTAATAGCCAAAGAAGAGATCATGGTGGTGATGTACACACTGCTACATTCATGATTCAGGTGCGTATTCCCGGATTACTGTTGCTAGTTTGTCCCGATCATCCTCTGTTTTTGTTCGGATCAAGAATGTCCTTGCCACAACACTGTCGTCGCTGCCAGAATCATCAGCCTGCGAAAATTGCGGAGTCAAATGTTTTAAAGTTGGCATTGGAAGATAGATAACAAGATTCTACCAAAAAGAAAGAGATAACAAGTATAAGATCTAGCAGCAGACAAACTGAACAGTGAGTATATATTTACCGCCACATGAAATATGGCAACCACTGAATTCTTCTGTAAACTCGTCTTGATTCCTGGGTACAGCAAAGCATTTAGCAGGACTTTCCCCAACTGTCATATAGTACAAAGCACAAGATGAGCCAGTCAGATGAGTCGCAGCTTAATCTCCGCATTTTCATTTTTTACTCGGACATTTGTCAAAACAGTTTAGCATTACTATCATAACCATACATCATTACGAATTATAAGAGTTGGGTTTGATTCTTTCGTCCCCTTGTTGACACCCTCGGCACATTTTATAGAAAGCTGCCCTGGTCCTTTGTCCTTCCATGTGTCTTTATCTGCAGGATCAATTGACTGAAAACCAAGGGTTTTAAGCTGTTAATCATGCAGCCAAGCATATATATTCCAAGGTAACACATCAAGGATTGAATTCGATGTTAATTTTCATAGACCAAGTGTATGTACACAGAATATCATCATGCACAATGACAATGGGGGCTGATTATCAGTAACTGGGAACTAATTTAGATGTATTTGGAGAATGTAATTTCAACAAGTGTTGAAATGTAAAGGGGAAGTAAACAGTTTACCTTGACATAGAGTTTGCACTTGACTTGATAGACAACGACAACACCCTTCTCCTCAACCTTCTTCACTGATGGACTGCCAGGCTTCGGCAATTCATCTCCTGGTTTACAAACGAAAGTGGCCTCAATCAGTTGGGGGAAATGTCAAAACAATAAAGGGTAAAGGGAACCAAAATCCACATCCTCACCATCATCTGCTTCATCTGAAGCATTATTGTTTGTGGTGTCTGAATTTTGACCACCTGAAATCCAAAAGGAACAATATATGCCATATTGCGCATCAACTGACTGACAGGCCGTGAAATAACACCTTAGGAGTCTCAAGGAGAAAGTGGCGCACACAACAACTCCAAACTGACACACACCACTTACCAAACAAGATAGGAGCTGGCGTGCTGGCAAACCCTCCCACAGAACTTGGACTCCCAGAAAACAATCCACTACTTGGACTGCTGGAAAAGAACCCAGTACTTGGACTGTTTGAAAACAATGTAGGGCCGGAGCTACTCGATAATAGATTACCACCTTGGCTATTGGATAGTGACCCAAAAGTTGGGGTTTGGCTATTTGAAAATAACCCAGCACCTTGACTATTTGATAGTAATCCGGAACTTTGGGTTTGATTTTTGGGGAACAAACCAGCACTTTGATTGTTGGCCAAGGATCCCAACTTGCTATTTGAGAAAATCCCAGTACTACTGCTCGATAACAATCCAGAGGTTTGACTGTTTGGAGGTAAGACAAGGCTTTGGCTACCAGAGAACATTCCAGAGCTTTGGCTATTTGACAGAAGTGAGCCAGAGTTTTTACTAACAGACACTGCTCCGGAGCTTTGGTTGTTGGAGAATATGGTAGATGGCCATGCAGCTGTAGTAAAGCTCGCACTTGTTGAAGCAAAAGAAGGTGCTTTCTCGTTAGATAAATTGTTCTCATTTCTCTTATTAGTTTCAGGTGATGATTTTTTGTCACTGGCAGAAGATTCAGCACCAGGTCCTCCCTTGGCTGCATTTGCCTTTAACCAGTTGACTACATCACTGAACTTTTCCTGACATATGACCAGAAGCAGATCAAAGGCATGAAGATCAGAAATAGAAGAAACATATCAAAGTGGACAAAGTCTGTACTTCCTACCATGATACTGGATGCATGAGCAAGATAGTCACGTAGTCCATCTTCCCAAAGTTCATCAGGGTGATTCTTAAATTGTGTTTGCACCCAGCTATTTGCAATCAGGGAAGACACATGCTTAGCAAAAGGATTACTTGGAAACCGAAAAACACCTTAGCAGTGAAGAAATCATTCTAAGGGATGTTAAAGAGTCCACAGCAAAAAATCACATTAAAATAGAGGTTCAAAACAGAAGCAGGAGAGGAGAAGCTGCTGACCTGGCAAATTGGGAATTGAGAGCTCTCACATGCTGTCGAGAGGACTCAGCCCGCAGCACATCCAATGATGATGGGGTTGCAGTTGTTAACGGCTGCTGCGATGTTTCTGCCTTGTGAACATCAAAAAAGGATCCCATTGCCCTTTTAGTCCGCATCTGTAACAGCATTGGAAGTCCTACAGTAAGTAAGCCCCCAAAAATGACTAAAGAATCAAACACACTCATGAATGAACGCATTCATTTTCCTTTTTTGGTAAAATAAATGGACGCATTCTGATGCTTCATAAACGAGAAACAAAAATAAACCAACTGTTCTCTCTCTGGCAGATATGACCCCTGTGGCCCTGTCCAGATTCTGAATAGCCTAAACTAAACACATTCCAGACGGACAGCTCTACCAACTCTACTTATCCTCCACAGGAAAGTACAACAAAAAGGATAGAACTTTTAGGCATAAATAGCCATCCTAACAAATTTGCACAGAAATAATCAACTTCATATTGGCCAAAGATCAAGGAAGCTTTCATTTTCCTAAGGTGTAGCGTTGATTATCTATACTACGTTCGCTTCCAAACAAGCAGGGCTATACCCTAGCAGCAAGCAGGAACAATAGGGAAAATAGGAGTGTCCGTTCTTTTTGCAGTTGCCATTGCAGCTACATGTAGTAAGATAAAAAGTTCCCAACTTTCTTTCGGGTCTCTTCCTCCCTGCATAAACATTCCCCCCTGAAGTCCTCAACTCATGCCCTCCAATCTAAACCGAAAAAACATTCCTCCCCAAAAATTCGACAGAACAGAGCAGAAGCGAAACATCAATTAGGGTTTTACTCCCCCGCGTAGAGAGCAACAACTTACATTCGTCTCATTGGACTCCGGCGCCAGCTCCGACGACGATGTGGCGAGACGTTTTGTTCCTCTCATGATTGATTCCGTCTGCCCTTTCAGCGAAAGATCGAAAAAGGTATAAGCCACGAAAAAAAAAGGAGCAAAGACAGAATTTTTAGGGCTTTGCCTTTGCTTTTCAACTTCAAATTGAAACTGTTCTTTTTTCGTTTTCAGGGGGGACTAGGATTAATTAATTTTCTTTTTGATTTATTATTTTCTGATGTTTATTCAAAATTTGGGGATTCTTTTTGATTGAACTACCATCGTCCGATGAGGTGGGTAACTAACTTTTAACTGGAGCCGTTGGATTCCTTTTTGTCAGAGGGCTGAGAGTGGATTTTATGCGGCGCCTCTAGTCTCTTGTTAGTTTGCACGCTCGCACGTGGACCACCTCGCTGGAGTGCCGTGACGGGGCCCACGGCTCCCATTTTTCTCTTGGCCTGGAGGTTTGGGCTCCGGCAAAGCCCAGTCAGAGCTACAAAAGGGCCGCAGTAGAACTTTTTTCAAAATACACATGTGTAGCCAAAACTTTGACGGTTTTGTCAAATGTAGTCATTTTTGGCGAAATACCAAAAATAGTCATTTTCGTCTAATTCTTTGACGGTGTGAGTTAACATGCTGATTGGACTAACGGATCTCCTGATCTGGCGATTTTCATCCTCGTACGTATTACCCACATGGATTTAAAACAAATAAAGAAAAAAAAATTAATAAGTTTTATGAGGAGGGAGGCGAAGAGCTCTTCTCTACCGACAAATCATCCCACCACCAAAACCACGAACGGCGTCGCCTTTAGTCCAAAATCATCTCTGCCTCTGCCACCATCAATTTTCTCTGCCTCCACCACCAATCGTCTCTATACTCGTCAGATTTAAGAAGGCGGTTTGCATGCGGGACCAGGTGGAGAAGCGGGCATGGCGACTGCGACGGAGGATTGGGATTGAAATTGTGTTGGTGGTGGGTTCTTTCTCCCTTCGTTATTTTCCTCCGTCCGAGTTCACCCTCTGCTCTCGCTCACTGACAATAATGGATTTGTCCAGAATCAAGGAAATCACACCATGACGGCGACCGGATCGTCGGAAAAAAGGTTGTTGTCACCCTCCTCGAAACCCGATGTTGGCGCCGAGCAGCGCTCCGCCACCATCGCCTCCACCCACCAATCTCACCTATAAACCATCGTCGTCCACTGCATCAGCGGAGGTTTCTTCTTCCCCTTCCGTTGGCATCATCGGAGTTTCTCCCCTCTTCCATTTCAGATTCGTTGAGTTGCAAACCCAGATCTGGACGAAAGCACCGAAGAATGCTACCGAGAGATTTGACTCACTCCTCTGTCACTCTAGAAAATGGCCAAGTGCAACCACTTCCTATAGCGTAATATAGCGGGTTTGGGTTTTAATGTCAACCCGGGTCCTAGATGTGATGACTACTCAGCGAATTCTTATTATTTAGCGGGGAAACTTTAGTGCAGGTTCAAACAAGCAAACAAGTAAGCAATTAATTGGTTGTTTTCAAGTCGAGAGAGGTCACCCGGATATGGTTCCCCCTAGACTGTAGTTAATCCGGATTGCAATTTACCAAGTTTAGTTTTAATGATAGTTTTACTGCGGGAGGTTCTTAAGCCGTCTGAAGTCTCGACTAAAGGTCTCCAGACCCTCTCAATCTGAGTCCCCAGCAGGCGACTAACCTCCACCGGAGTAAACAAATTGAGGCCCTAACGAACCAAACCTCCACTACCGAAGTAAATTCGGTACAGAATAGTGAATTGGCTCCTCGACTAAAGTCGCCAATTCACTACCTTCAATTAAGGGTGCTCTATCAACCTAGGCATATATTCTCTTTCTAGGCTAAAGCAGAAATAACAGGAATTTGATCAGGATTCATGTCATTCAAACCTCAATTGAATATAATCAAATCATAGAATCTGTACTTGGGTTCATACAATCAGACCTAACATACAAATCTAGGGTTCTCCATACCTAGATGAATGAGGGAGTTACTCCATGGAGAGAGAAGCAAAAGCAAATTCAGATGCGGAAACCATACTGTGAAGGATGTGTTTCTGCTCCTGGTCGTCAATCAGCACTTCTCCAAGTGTGAGCCGAGCTCCAATGGTGATGAAGATCAAGCTAGGGCACTTGGGAACTCTGGTTCGTCGCTTTCTCTCTCTAGGAATTGCTCTGTCTCTCTAAAACTCAGGACCCCCTTTCTCCTTTGCTGAAAATTGGCTTAAAACCAGAAAATCCCGACTCACACGGCCGTGTGATACCCCCCAGCTGCCCGTGTGAGTTGCACAAATCGCAGCGTTTTGATAAGTGGCTCAGGCTTTCTACACGGCCACGACCCACACGGCCGTGTGGAATTCCAGGATGCCCGTGTGAGTTCCCTGGAATTTTCACACGACCATCAGGGGTCCCCTACACGGCCCGTGTGACTTTGGCCGTGCAATTTGATGTCACACGGCCGTGTAGGTTTTAGGCGTGCCCGTGTGGCTCCATCAGCCTCCCACCGAACATCCAAACTTCATCCAATCGACCCCGAACTCGTTCCCAAACCTTCATTCACGTACTAGGACCTGAAATATCACAAACAAGCACAACCTAGCGTGAAATCGGCTTATAACGCGAGAATCGACATCTCAAACGGCTCAAGAATATGGGTAAAAACATGTGTAATCAATGGTCTATCAAGATTCCAGGCTAGGAGACTCCTCTCCTGGCTCTACTCTCCAAGCTCCCAGCAATAAAGAAGCATTAGATTTCATATCCATCGCAAAAGGGCAAACTCTGGCGTAAAGAAGCAAAGGGGGATTTGGGTTGGAAAATGGATGAACTCCCTCAAAGACAAGTGATTTGGTCTGAAAATGAAGTTCGATTATCTACAATAAACAAATTTTGTTGTATTTTCTCAAAGAGCTCAGTGATGGGAAGAAAAGGATGGGAAGAAGCCATGGTTGAAGTTGGATTAGTGAGGAAGAACACCACGATGAAGGATTAGTTAGGGAATAAAAGTCCTTAAAAATTAATTTAAATAAAAATGACATGTCAATCCACCTGTCATCAGAGGCTGAGTTGTCGATGACATGTCTGGTGAGCTGGAAGCACAGTAAGCATACCGTTAAAATAGTTAACGGCGTCACTGACGGTGTTAAAGTTTGCAACGGAAATGACTATATTTGTCATAAAATTTTCAAAATTTTGGCTATTTTTGGTATTTCGCCAAAAGTGGCTATATTTGGCAAAACCGTCAAATTTTTGGCTACACAGATGTATTTTGCCTTTTTTTTATTCTACACTTGTTGTGGAATTGGAAGTAACATACCGGTTGGTATATAAATCAATTCAATAAGTTTTGAGTAATTTATTTTGAAATGAATTTTTTTTGTGTTTGATATTTAAAAGAATTTATTTTAAATTCTAATATTTAAATTCTACGAAACTTGAACTAGTTATAGCAATTCGAATGAATTGAGATGGAATTTTCAAATGAATTTCACAAGTATTTACTAATTATAATAGAATGACATAATTATCCTCGTTTGTTAACTAAATTACTTCTATCTATATTATTTGGCACCAATTCATGCAGCATGAGGAACGTCGACAAGAATTTGATTGCAACGTTAGTATCATATGCTGGTTAGTTGATATACTTTGATTGTAACAATATATTGAGAAGTCACAACTAGAGTGTAGGTTTATCAACGAAATATTAGAAAATAACTAATGAATAGAATAGAAATACACAAGAAAACTTTCGATATTCTACGTATGAATTTTGTAGAAGATGGATTTTCAATGAATATTTTTACTGTCGTAAATTAATAAGGGTGTAGTTGGAAACTTTTAATTTAATTCAATTCTAAATGTACGTCAAACATGGTCGGAGAATTCAATTCTTTTTATTTCTAAAAATTTGAATTTGACTTACCAAATACATGAACTCATTTGACAATGAATTTTACATGGTAATTCATTTTAAAATGAAATAAATTCTTAATTCATTTTATACCAAATAACCTACAAAAATTTTCTTGGTTGAATCCCATTTATGTAGTAAATTAGTGATATTATTACTAGATCAAACTATTACTTGCCCATTTACCGATGATTATACCATTACATGATTGTTGTTTACCATTTAAATATTTTGATATTTTTTATAATTAAATATTTTGATATATATATGATAGTACTTTTATTTGTATAAGTAATATCAACACATAAATTTTGATATATATATGATATTATTACTAGATCAAACTATTACTTGCCCATTTACCGATGATTATACCATTACATGATTGTTGTTTACCATTTAAATATTTTGATATTTTTTATAATTAAATATTTTGATATATATATGATAGTACTTTTATTTGTATAAGTAATATCAACACATAAATTTTACGATGGAGATTGGAGAATCGAGATACATCTGAACAGAAAAAATGATAATTAACAAGAAAAAAGAATAATTAAAAACAGTCTAACATGTGGAGCCAACGACGAATTATTGGGCTCGTGTTATAGACATACTTACATACGTACGGTCACAGAGAATCTCTGAAACAAGTTTCATATTATGACCCACATGTGTGTATATAAATTACAAAAGGAACTGGCCAGAAAGGACAACAACATGAACTAGCTAGCTAGTTAGGATAGTCAGAGATATAGAATATTGGCCGATAAAACAGCATATATATAAACTAGTTATGTGTCTCTTTGTTTTGATTCTTCTTCTAGGGCAAAAATTTCAGTGCCCCGCATAGCTAAACTGCTGCATGCCCACCGCGTTGCAATGGCAGCCATTGTTGTTAGTTGGCAACTCTTCGTTTCCCTTCTACTACAAACCATTCCTTATGCTGTCAACTAGCCACGCACGCAGGCAGCAACAAGGCGTAATTAACTAGTTTGGTCGAGGTTAACCATAGTACTATTACGAAAGGTTAAGTAGTCTAGTGGTGAAACCCTCGTGATCGCTTATTTCGGGAGTGAGAAAGGGCAGATCTCGTGTTCAACCCCCTCGCTCTCAAGGCCCGTTGTGGTGTTCTCGAAAGCATATTTGGATGTTGGGAGTGAAGCCTCGTTGGCGCGTAAGTGTGCAGCAGGTGGCCCTAGGTTTGGTCTTGCTTTGCCATCACAAAATATGGTGTGTGTGTGAGGATGTTCCTTGGTTATAAAAAAAATCATAGTAGTATTGGCAATGGCGGATCCTGAATTTTTTTTAGGGGTGTCCTCTTCTAAAAATTAAATTAAATAATTCATAAATAAGAAAATACCGATTAGTACAAATTTTAACAAAAAGAAATACCGATTAGTACAAATTTTAACAAAAAGTCACGATGTGTTTACATATTTTGAAAAAAATATAAAATAGATTCGGTATCTATACTGCTCGACAAATCTGTATATCCAACTAGACGATAATTCACAAACTGATCGCATATTCAATTTCTAACCTTGTTTATGATATAACTCAAAGTTGAGAATACTTTTTCAACACTCCGTGTAACCATAAAATCAATTCAAATTAGGGTACTTCTAGGGATAAGAAATCGTGTCTTTACTATTACATAGTGTTTAAAATAGAACAACACATGAGTTATAACCTAATGGAGAATATGTTTAATAATAGTAGTGGCCTAGGTTTGAATAACACAGACTACCACTAATATTTTTTTTATCATACACAAACTACTATCGAGGGTAAGATAATCATTTTTTCAATTTTTAGAGATGTCCCAAATTACTAATTATATTTTGTTTATCCATACGAAACTACTATCAGCGGTTGGATAATCTTTTCCCCAAAATTTAGCCTAAAGCACCATGCATCCGCCAAATATTATTGGAGGTTAGGGTTTGTACCGTAAAGGTCAACTGGTCAAGACTCGTACCTTATAATAATTAGGGGTCGTTTGGATGAGGAATTCTAATTGGATCAATCTGACACAATTGTCTCGTTTTGAGTCAATTGTGCTAGATTGATCCGTTTGGCAGCATAAAATTTGAATGAAGCAATTTGGGCTGGGAATTCTGAATTGACTCATTTTGAGCCAATTACAATTGTCTGGGGTGGGGGCAGGTATTCTGGATTGACTCGTTTTAAATGACTCGTTTTGTAAAATGAAACAATTGGTCAAATTGTCTCGTTTTACAATTGATTCATCCAAACGACCCCTAAGTTTTTCTGCCTCAAAACTCTCCAACTCACTTGAACTTAACTAAGGTCATATACAATCATCATTTTTATCTAGAGAAATTTTACACATGTTTATAACGGTGATATTGATTAAAGAGGTTGTTTGGAAGTTGAGATTCTTCAAATGTGTATTTGATGAATACATCTATTGTAAATACAAAGATTGTAAGAAGATGATTGGAAGGACGTCTTGTTTGGTTGTAGCCATTCAAAAATTTTAAATAAAAGAAAGAAATCACTTTATGAGCTAAAAGTGAAACAAATTAAAGGCAACAATCTCAAATGAAGAATCCCACCTTTTTGTTGAGATTTAAAATGAGTGATTGTGGGTGATATGAGATTTGAGAGCCCACCTCAAATGCATGTATTGAATAAAATTTTGGAACAAAAAAAAAAATGATGAATTCTTTAGAATACATGAATTCAAAAAATCATTCATCTAGAATCATAACTTCTAAACGACACCAAAGTTTCTTTGTAACATGATATATCTAAGAAATTTGAACATAATACTTTCATATTAAAGAGCAACACTATAACCGCTAAACAAAACCATTGTTCGCAATTTTACATACCTTCTTATCTTTCATATGTTATGATACAAGGAGGTACAGTGACATGCGCCATGAGTGCATTTCTTTTCCAGGACACTTGGTTCAGTTCGATTTGGTACTATCTATAGCTAACTCGATCAAAGGAGGCATTATGTGCAGAAGGTAAAGAGAAAAAGAATCTCAACTTTAGTCTGCCTTTTCGATTTTCTTGGGATTTTATTCTAGCAGATGGATTTTATCAAAAAAGGAGATGATGATTTTCGTGTCGACACCATGAGGACTAACGACGAACTAGATACTAAAGTGTGCAGTGGTCTATTTTTATCTTTAAATGAACTTTAGGGTAAAAATCCTCAAAAAATGGTCCGGATATTCACTTCGTGATTAACATTACAAGGCATAATCGGTGTTTACATCAAGATGACTCCTACCAAATTGAGATTTTTGGTGTGAATTGGGTTTTCATTATTTGGTTTATCAATTGTACAAGTGAGACAGACAACCTGTTTGAATAGAGAAAAACTTATAAATTGAAATTTCATTTATGATTTATTTTTTATACTCGGTGTTTGAAAATTGAAATGGTAAAATTGTTGGAAATAAATTCCATTTGATGTAAATTTTGGGAATTAGAATTTTCTAGTTATTGGAATTAGATTTATGGAGATGGAATTAGTGAGTTTCATTAATATTTATTTATGATTTTATTACTCCACTATCATATTTCTTTCTCTCTAATTCATAAAATAGAATTACATTTTCATTTCTTGCAGAATTGTATTCAAACAGGCAGAAATGGTTATTTGATTGTCCTACATAAGATATAATACGTCGACAAATAAATGAATTTTTTTCTTAGTTGCCACATTATTCATACCATAGAAACAAGTCATTTGAATAAAGGATTTGTGTTATGAATTTTTTTCCCCAACATATGTTATGAAGGTCTATTACATGAAAGAGTCTATCTTGATTCTTGAGCGGCTCAATTAAAACTATTATCAGCACAATGACACAGTACAAACTCCAAGGAAGGAAAAACCAGGATTCCTCTCAAATGTATTTTGTTTAAAAATAAATAAACCTTGTAATTAAACTAGGATTCCTCTGGGAGGTGTCACGCGCAAATTCTCTCGTTTAGCGAGAGTCTGAGAGAGCGGCGGAAACCTTAGGTTTTCCGAGGTACCCCGATTGACGAGCATATTGATTTTCGATATTTGAACTAGCGGAATACATCAGTGCAAGGCTTTTCCTTGTCCTTCTACAATACGAATAGCTGTTTTCAGAGGGATTCCTTAACATCTCTGGTCGAGCTGTGGCGACCACGAAAACTTGTATTTAAGGTTTTGTTAGCAAGACTGGCTGGTGAGCTTTGCAGAGTTGAATCGCTGAAAGATACCCACAAATCCCCTGTCTCTTGGAAACGCACATCAGATTGAGCTATGGAAACCGGGGAACCTGACCGAGATCCAGAGCTTCAAAGCACAGCAGAGAGTCTCGAAGTCCAACTGGACAACATCACACTGGAGGATGAAGATGATACGCCACTGGATGTTGATGACAACGATGTGGACGTTTTCAGAATGGAGGCGGTTCTTCGTTTAGGGCTGATTAGCCGCCTTGTTGCTGAAAAAACACCAAACATAAAGTCCTTAAAGATCGCTCTGGCAAAAGCATGGAATCTCAAGAAAAATATCCAGATAACGGAATTGGGGGACATGCTCTTTGCTTTTCAGTTCCTGGATGAAGATGATCGAGACAGAGTATGCTTTGGGGGACCCTGGCATTATGAAAACAATGCTATGGTTTTCATGGCAAGTCTACTAATAAAGAAACCTACACCTGAAGCTTTGCATATGCTGGATATATGGATACAGATCAAGGATTTCCCAGTTGAGCTGAGAACGCAAACAATGGCTGAGAAAATTGCCAACAGGTTTGGCTCACTGATCTGGTTTGATGATAGCCCTAGGTCAATGTGGGATACATATATGAGGCTGAGGGTGAGTCTATCTATAAATAACCCTCTTAGAAGGAAAATAAAGCTGAATATCAAGGGGCAGTTAATGGAGTATATGGTCAAGTATGAAAAATTACCTATATTCTGCTATTCGTGTGGTCGAATTGGGCACCCCAAGCTGAGATGCCCGAAGCCATCAGGTCTCAACCCTGATCCTTTTGGGATGGACCTAAGAGCGGGAACACCGGGGCCAAGAAGCTGGCTATCACACTCTCTGAAAAAGGAAGATGAAACATTATGGGCATCACTGAAAAAGAAGTTTGATTGGGAAAGCATAGGATCGAATTCAAATCATGAAATTCCACCCCCTGAGGAAGTAGCAGAAAAGAGAATGCACACAACAGCAGAGAAACAAGGAGGAAAGGAGGAGCAGCGAAATAATATGGATGTAAAACATGTGAAAGAGCAAGAGTTCCCCTCAGAAAGGCCTACAGTAGCGGAGAAAGATGGATCCCAACCAGTCCACAGTCCTGTCTTAGGACAATCGGGGACTGGAGGGGCATTACAACAATTCATAATGGGGCCAGAAATAATGAAAAATCAACAGAGAAGCAGAAATAAAGTCTGGCACAGGCAGGAGCAGACTAAGGATCGAGTACACAACTCCACTCAAATAACTCCCCAAAAGAGGAATGTCCAGAATGCTGGGGAGATAGGAGATACTCAAGCGGATCCAGAATCACAAGCGAAGAAAGCTAAGAAATTGAATTTCAAGTTGCAGGAGTGATAACGATGTAATTGCACATGTTTGCGGCCCTGGTTCTGATCCGTTTGAGGGGCATAGTTGTGTACTTTTGGCCTATTTTACGCCGGGTTGTGCTATTTTGTCATGTTTCAGGTCCCAGGTGTCAAAGGGAAGGCTAAGCACGAGTTTCGGGGCATTCGGAAGTCATTTCGGTGAGCTGGAGCCAAAACACGGGCAGACCCAAGGCATTACACGGCCGTGTACTGCTGGCCGTGCTTTTTATGCCGAGAGCAAATTTGGTTTGGCCAATTCAGTTGCAAACACGGGCACTGAAGCACGGCCGTGTTCAGTCAAAGCACGGTCGTGTCCATTGCGAAGCACGGCCGTGTTTAACCCACTTGCTGGCCGTGTAATTAAGCCCTGGCCGAGGCACGGGCAGAGTCAGGCAAAGCACGGCCGTGCCGTCGACCGTGCTTTGGCCACTGATGCCCTTTTAAGCAGATTTTCAGCCAAAAACCAGAGGGAGAGCTGGGTTTTGGATCCCAAACACCCAAGGGACGAACCAAAGAGAGAGAGGGCGATTTGAGGGCATTCTTGGAGTGGAGTTGGAGGATTTCTTCGCCTTGGAAGCTCGAGGAACAAGCCCGGACTTGAAGACTGATCATCTGAAGATTCTTACTGCAGTCTCTCTCTTCTCTATGGAGTAACTTCCCTTCACTAGGTTTTGAGGAACCCTAGCTATGTTTGTTTGATTGGATGATTATATGAGTACTCTGACTGGATAATCTTGAGTTCATATTCAATCTATGCATGTTTTCATGATTCAATTCTGCTTTAGTCTAGATTATTGATTCTGCTTTGATCCTATGAGAGGGAATACCTGATTAGGTCAATAGAGCACCATAGATTGATAGTAGTGGATCGATTGCTTTAGTCGAGGGTTGGTTCACTGCTTTGTATCGATTGAGAACCCCTTTCGATAGAGGGAGTCTAGTTCAGAACGCCTTGATCAGTTGTTCTAGAGAAGGATACGTCCCTCTAGGCAATTGACTCAAGAGGGCCTTGTTCCTTTAGTCGAGACTCAAGGTCTAGTCAAGGATTCTCCTCATTGTGAATGAAAGTGAAACAGGTTAGAGATCATCAATCGTTAATCTGGCTAGTGGCTAGGGGGAATCATACCTAAGTGAGTTCCCAACCTGTAATTAGATTAACTTAACTGTAGTTTGCTAGAGTAGTTTTAGTTCTTTCATCTTAATCTGATTTGCTAAATAATAAACTGAAGCTGAGTAATAGTAACTCTAGAGACCCGTGGATTCGATATTTATCACTTGAGCCACTATACTGCAGTCCCTTTCATTGGTTACACTTGGCCTTTGTTAGGTGTTGTGTTTTAGAGCATCAAGTTTTTGGCGCCGTTGCCGGGGACTTTCTAGAGTATTAGGAAAGGCAGAAGTTTGTTACTTTAGCGTTTTTCGTTTCTTGTCGCTTCCACCCTTGCTTTTCACTTGGGTGTTTTTGTTTTTGTTGGTGCAGATCTGAATCATGGATCCTAATGGCTTCTCCAATCATTGGGGGTATCCACCACCATCTGGGTGGTATTACCCCGAGACTCCGTGGAGCAATCAAGGCGGAGAAGACTATGGATTCGGGTTCCAGTACCAACCCCCTTACTACGGAGAACAACCGGATCCCTGGGCATATCAAGAACAACCTCATTACCAAGAAGAATTTTTCCCACAACCAGAGGGGCCATTGGAGCTGGAGTTACCCATGGCGGCTTTCACGGGCCATTCTGCAGAGCCATGCTATACTCCACAGCCAGATCCACACTATGAATTGAGACTTCTCATGGAGCAGTTTGCTCGAGACTGTGATAGAACATGCTCCAGGATGGATCATTGTGTCCAGTCCTATCGTGAAACAGAGGAGATCCTCCTGAGCCTTAAGAAGAGCGTCGATGATCTTGAGCAATCTTGGGCGCAACCTGCTCCAGATCACCCTGCTGCTACCATACAAGAAGATGAGGAGGAAGAAGAAGGCTACAAGGACATTGTGGAGCACACTGAAGTTGTCACGGAGAGCTCCCGTGATGATCATGATCAGGAGTGTCATGTCGTAGCCGACCACACCTTCCCACACCCCAAACTGAGCTTTGAAGAGGCGGGCATGAGTTCGGAGATGCAAGAAGATCTCATGAAAGAAATTGCTTGGCAACTTGCTCTCCAATCCGTGTTAGAAGAAGAAGAGCAACAAAGGGTGCAGAAAGAAGTTGTGGAGGATGGCGAAAGTGAAGCTGGAGAAGTTCTTGATCATTTCCCAGGGGTGATACCACATGAAGAAGGAAGGGAGGTTAAAGAAGCAATTGGCGTCCAGGCTGAGGATGAAGTTGAGGTGGAAGAGGCCTGCACCGGCCATGAGTTACATGTGATATTCCCACCAAACTTCGAGGAACTGCTTAGCAAGGACCCATTTGCAGTGTCTCTTTGCCAGACCAAGGCCACATCGACAACGGTCCCTCTTGGTGGACGCGATGGTGGCCAATCGATGCTGTCTTATCTGGTTTGGGGCAATGAGACGAGAGAAGAGAAGAAGAGGTCTCGAGGGTGGAGACCTCATCTGCATCAAGTGCACGAGCTTTCATCACCTGCCACACCACATGCTCGTGACTTGAGACTCCACCTCATCGACAAGAACCTCAACTTCAAGGAGGTTCTAGCATGGACCGAAACTTAGGAGCCATCGTCCGGCTCACGACGTGAAAGAAGCGCTTGTTGGGAGGCAACCCAACCAGTCGGTTTGCATTTCTTTCTCTTTTTCTCCTCGGTTGAGTCAGTTTTGTTATTTGATTTTAGAGTCAATAATTCAACCTTTGTGAGATTTTGTGTGATGTTTGTGGTCTGGCCATTCTCTCCTCCTGAAATACGCCGCCTGCCCCGTCCACCATCATTCACCCTGGATCTGGTAACTTCGTTCTACCCTCCTTATCTTTCCTCCATTGAGGACAATGTCGTGCTTAAGTGTGGGGGGATGTTCGATTATGTATCCGTGTGAATGTTTGACTGTTTGTGTGCTTGGAGCCTAGTCCACTGTCCAAATTTCGATTTGAGGGCTCCAAGTACGTGTTCCTTGCAATTGCCCGCTCAGTATGCTTTGAATTGACAGTCTTTATAGTAATATGCAACCTAGGGAGGTAGTGTAGCACTATGGAGGATGTTGATGCATTTAAGAAATCTCATTTCTTCTTCATATTATGTTGGTTGATTGAGTGAATTAGTGATCTTAGGACCCTTGAATTGTGTGGTGTTGTGGATTCTCTACCTGTCATGGACTCTTGTATCATGTTTTAAGTTTAACAGGTGCTCGAAAATGTGCTTCAAAATAACGTCTCCCGTGCGAATAGGGCGAAAGTGTGTAAGGGGAGACGGGAATCCGTTCCCAATTTCCACCTACTACCTCCAGCCCCCTTACATGTCTTTCCCCCGCACGAGGCTCGAGACATTCGCTCCTGGCATGGCCGGTAAGAGCCGGTTGGGACCCTTGAAAAAAAAATCACAGAAAACAAGCAAAACAGAAAGAAAAGGGGTTCCAACCATCTTCAAAGAATATAGAGCACCTTGAAAAATGTGAGTCCATGATCTTTTGTTTTTGAGAATCTTTTCATCCACGATTCATTTGTCCTCGGTTCACTGTTTTCCATGATGCCGACTCGCCAAGGAAGCTATGAGATGACTTGTGCGTCGGTTGACCTCGTAAGCTGCTAAATGATCTAGGAAGTCCTCTACCTACGATCTGGGTTGTTTGTTGCTATAGAGTCTGGAGAGTTGCATTGGTTTGAGTTAGGTTTGCTTGGGGACAAGCAAACGGTTAAGTGTGGGGGAGTTTGATAACGATGTAATTGCACATGTTTGCGGCCCTGGTTCTGATCCGTTTGAGGGGCATAGTCGTGTACTTTTGGCCTATTTTACGCCGGGTTGTGCTATTTTGTCATGTTTCAGGTCCCAGGTGTCAAAGGGAAGGCTAAGCACGAGTTTCGGGGCATTCGGAAGTCATTTCGGTGAGCTGGAGCCAAAACACGAGCAGACCCAAGGCATTACACGGCCGTGTACTGCTGGCCGTGCTTTTTATGCCGAGAGCAAATTTGATTTGGCCAATTCAGTTGCAAACACGGGCACTGAAGCACGGCCGTGTTCAGTCAAAGCATGGTCGTGTCCATTGCGAAGCACGGCCGTGTTTAACCCACTTGCTGGCCGTGTAATTAAGCCCTGGCCGAGGCACGGGCGGAGTCAGGCAAAGCACGGCCGTGCCGTCGACCGTGCTTTGGCCACTGATGCCCTTTTAAGCAGATTTTCAGCCAAAAACCAGAGGGAGAGCTGGGTTTTGGATCCCAAACACCCAAGGGACGAACCAAAGAGAGAGAGGGCGATTTGAGGGCATTCTTGGAGTGGAGTTGGAGGATTTCTTCGCCTTGGAAGCTCGAGGAACAAGCCCGGACTTGAATACTGATCATCTGAAGATTCTTACTGCAGTCTCTCTCTTCTCTATGGAGTAACTTCCCTTCACTTAGGTTTTGAGGAACCCTAGCTATGTTTGTTTGATTGGATGATTGTATGAGTACTCTGACTGGATAATCTTGAGTTCATATTCAATCTATGCATGTTTTCATGATTCAATTCTGCTTTAGTCGAGATTATTGATTCTGCTTTGATCCTATGAGAGGGAATACCTGATTAGGTCAATAGAGCACCATAGATTGATAGTAGTGGATCGATTGCTTTAGTCGAGGGTTGGTTCACTGCTTTGTATCGATTGAGAACCCCTTTCGATAGAGGGAGTCTAGTTCAGAACGCCTTGATCAGTTGTTCTAGAGAAGGATACGTCCCTCTAGGCAATTGACTCAAGAGGGCCTTGTTCCTTTAGTCGAGACTCAAGGTCTAGTCAAGGATTCTCCGCATTGTGAATGAAAGTGAAACAGGTTAGAGATCATCAATCGTTAATCTGGCTAGTGGCTAGGGGGAATCATACCTAAGTGAGTTCGCAACCTG